TGGATGAAGGATGGATGTGAGGAGTCTCATGTTTCCTGTCTGTGAAGGTGAACAGCCTCCGTCCTCCATGACTCCTGTGGTTCTGGAGTCAGAGTCTGGAGAGCTGCTGGTGATTGGTGGATCAGGGGGGAGTATGATCATCACGGCCGTGGCCTCGGTAACAACAACTACACCCACAACTACACCCACAACTACACCCACAACTACACCCACAACTACACCCACAACTACACCCACAACTACACCCACAACTACACCCACAACTACACCCACAACTACACCCACAACTACACCCTTTTAAATGTAGCTGCTCATGTTCCAGCCGTTGCCCTGACGTTGCCTGATCTTCTTCTCGTCTCAGTCCATAATCAATCACCTGTTTCTGGGGAAGAGTCTGGCAGACGCCGTCGCTGCCCCCATCGTGTTCGTCGACTCCAAGAACAATCTCAACTTTGAGCGCCGCTTCGACGAGGTAGGACGAAACGTAACCGACCCACAGAATGTTGATGTGGTGTCGATACTTCACCGCTCCGATGTGTGTGTGTGTGTGTGTGTGTGTGTGTGTGTGTCCACAGGCCGTGACCAAACGCCTCCAAGCTTTTGGACACAAACTCCGCGAATCAAAATACTTCTTTAACGTCGTGAGTGCTGTTAAAAAAGAGAAAGGCTGCATCACCGCCGTGTCGGACAAGAGGAAGAACGGAATGGCTTCAGGGTATTGAACCCCCAACCCCTCCACCCCCAAACAAGACCTTAACGACCGTACGTGTGCCGCCTCCCTGTGTCTGAAGTCTGAAGTTTACAACCGTGACGAGGCATTTTCAAAAAGTCAAAAACAAAACAGACTCAGTACTCCTTTTCATCCACTAAGTGGTGCTACTTTCCAGTCAGGCTTTTCCATTTGAGGCTGCAGTCGTCGACAGACGTCTGATTTTCTTTGCCGGGAAGAAGAAGCGAAGGAGTCAGAATCCGATGGTGGTCTTTATCTGATGGTGTGGTCGACTCGTCACTGAACAGAGATGCAGAGAGACTTCTTCACGTCAGGTTTATTTTTAGTCCCTGCAGTTCGGTGTCTGAGTTTCCCCTTCAGTTCATGTTGTTCCATCGCTCTCCCTATCACTCAGGGTTCGTCGCGGGTCAGATATAAGTCAGAAAAATGTTGTGAGGTGATGAGAATGAGGTCTGAAGTCCAAAAGTGGAAAATAAACGACAGAGTGGATAAAAAAGAGGCACAAAAATGGCCTTAACGTAGCCTTTGATATTGAAAAAAAGACTAAGATAAGAAAAAATAAAACAACAGAAATGTAATGAAGTTAACAATATAGTAGAAATCAGTAGAAGTTTGTCAGAAGGGAGTTTCATTTCTATATAAATTGACCACAAATCCAGATCATACACTCAGGCGTGGTGCTCCAAGCTAGCTTAAAAAATGCTAACAAAAAACAAAAAACAACTAAAAGTTGTTTTATTTTTATTGGTTTTTACCTTTAAAGTAGCCTGAAACTGATGAAAAACTAAATAATAATAAAAAATTTAAAAAATGTATGTGGTTAAGAAAAACAATATATTAGATGAAAGAAAAATTCTAAACATTATTAAAATAATTTAAAAACTGTATGTGGTTAAGAAAAACAATATATTAAAAAATAGTTTCAAATGACAAATATTCAAATATAATAAAAGGGCAAAAGAAAGCAGTTGTTGTTTCCTCCAATCACCAGTGCCTATTCTGTCAAAGCCAATCACAGTCGCTCTTATTAAAACGTGAACTTTTACAGTTGATCGTATCATTATAACCGCACCACACGGCTGCTACTTTTACTACAAAAAACTTTATACGTTTTATGGACAATTCACACACACTTCACCTTCACTGTCCAAAAAAAATGAACTCTGAATCCAAACTCTAAGTGTTGAACTTTTCTAGTTCCTTCTTATTCAGTTGGACTCTGCAAAATGTCCCCGACAAAACAGGTGTCCCCGTCTCTGCGGAGTCTCTTCAAAACATTGTCCCCACTAGTGTAGGTATACCAGTATACCGGGTGCTTGCCAGAGTGTTTACACAGAATTTTGCATTTTCACGTTGCCGCCCTGACACTGATACTGTACACCAGTGAGTCCCAACCACTGCGCCGCGGCCCACTAGTGTCCCGTGAGAGATCGTTAGCCGTGGACAATTATCCAATTTTACTTAATTGGGTTGAAAACTATTATTTATTCATTTCATGTAATTTTCTTTGCTCGTCAAAGCATGAAAGACAGAAGAATAAATACTCTTTTTGCTAGGGGGCAGCAGAGGGCTATGAACACTAAAAAAAAAGGAGAGACAAACAGAACTGTTGAAGAAGATCTTTGTGAGTTTCTTTCTTCAATTCCTGCCAGTATATCAGCGTTGTCTTCAACTAAACAGGCTGGGGTTTTAGTCGATGATCAGGGGATTGTTATATCTGTGGTGGTTGGGAACCACTGCAGTACATGATGTACCTGACATGTTACTGTTACTGTTACTTTGTGATACTTTTTGATATTTTCTACTGTGCAAATCGTTTTTTTTTTATTGTTTTTTTTTATGTCTGAACTGTGAAGCTGTGCTGTTGAAATAAATCTGAGTCTAAAACCTTCAGTCTTTTCTGTTAACGCTCACCTTCTGTGCTGCAGATATTTAAACATTTATCTCTGGATGTTTGTAGAGTGTGATCAGTAATCATTCACACACACACACACACACACACACACACACTCCCAGCAGTTTTGCTGTGAAACAACAGTTGCAGTAATGAGATAACATTTCACTGGAGAGACTCGTGAATTAGTGATGATTTTTAAGTGGATTCTGCTCTGGATTTTTTTTTTTTTTTTTTCTGCCCTCGGAGCCAAAGGAAGTGAATTATGGAACGGTGCAAACGCCTAACGTCTGTGACTGAAGCCCCGCTCTCTTTCTTTGTGTGACAAACAAGGCTAATTCACACACACACACACACACACACTCCCTTATATATGACCTAATTTAAAGGGACCGCGGATGTAAAGACGTGACTCCGGTCGCAGTGAAGCTTCAGAATTTTTACAGCACATTTTTAGTCACGATGTCGTTCCATCAGCAACGTTTTTGTTTGTTTGTTTCACAACAAATATTGTTCTACAAGTAGCAGAAATATCCGTTTGTAGATTCAGGGCTGGACTCACCAACGTATTGAGTCATGCTCCATCCATCCATTATCCACCGGGGGGCTGGGGGGGGGGGGGTCATACTACGACATATAACCCTTCACACTCACATTCACACTTACAGTCAGTTAACAGTGATCCATCAACCTGAGCATGTTTTTGAGCTCGAAGGAAAACCTGGGATTTGAACCCGTGAACCAGTGATTTTTCCACCTACAGCTACACCGTCTGAATTCTCATTTTTCCTTTTCTTTCATTTAGAACCCGTCTGGTTCTGGTTCTGGTTCTGGAAACCGGCTCCGTCTGGTTCTGGTTCTGGTTCTGGGGACAAACAGTTCCAGACACTCGTCTCCACCTCGGTAACTGCACCCACTTGAACTGCAGGGAAATGATTTGCTCATGAATTGTTCACTCACTCGTCGACCAGTTCTATCTTTACAACATCTTTAGTGCTGTGTGTGTACTTCACTCTCTTGCCTGTAGGTGGAGCCGGTCATTTAGTGAAAACATCAAGGACATGGTGAAGAGGGAAAATCAGCAAAAACATCACTGGTAAAATAAAATTAATTAATTAATTAAAAATATAGCGTCTAAATTAGTGAATCTATTCCCGTCCGACTGTTTCATCCTTTTCACGGTCAAACGTTGACGGATGAGCCGAGAGGCCAAACGTCCACGCGCTGAAACCTCTTTAAACGCCTCACGGAAGGTAATTTAAAAAAGACGTCATCTGATCTAGACACCATTTAGACGGTTGTGGAATTTTAGTCTCCACTCGCCCTTGTACAAATAAAGGAGGGCTGTAGCCAATCACAGAGGTCAGGGGCGGGGTCTACACCAGGGGTCACCGACCTTTCTGAAACTGAGAGCTACTTTGAAGGTCACTCAGTAAAACAAAGAGCTACTTGTTTGATACAGACTTCCTGAACAACGTCATAATAATTCAAAAGAAAACCAACTCTTCAGACCACCAATAGCAGGCGCTCTTCTTACCATCGTCACTGACTCGAACGTCAGTGTTGGTGGAACTGATTAAAAAACAAAAACAATAACAGTAATATTTTAGACTCTCTTGTTGACTAGTTTTATTTTTAGAACATACCCCACGGACACCACAGGTCATTGTTTCCCAAAGACTGGGTAAAAAATTTTTGTTTTTTTCTGGGGTCGTCTCGCATCATGTTTCCCAGGAGTTTACGAATAATGTCTATTGACTTGGGTCGTGAAGGTTTGTGATTTTTAAAATATGGGTCCCCAGAAAAAATGTCCATGGGAGGGGGGGGGGGCTACCAGGTGACCTAGAAAGCTAGCTAGTCCATGACAGAGCCACAAACAACTGTAAACGCTCACATTCACACCGACGTTCAGTTTAACGTCAACAACGAACCGGATCCTGAACCCGTTCATTTTCAGACGGGAACAAAACAAAACATAAAAGAAACAAATAAAAAAGAAAAAAACGAAGAATCTGCAGCATCTGTTTTTACCCATTTGATGAAAAGTGAGTTAATAAATCAATGCTGGGAAGACATGGGAAAACAAAGAAAAAAAAAATTGAACTGAGCTTTAATTTCACAGGATCCAGTGGTTTGGAGCTGGGAACCGTACAGTTCTGTGATTACGTAACACGCCACACAGTTACAGACAGTCCTGAGCTCTAGTGGTGACAGTGTGCAGCGGCGGCTGTAATGTTGTTATGGCCTTATTACAGGTCATTGCACTCTGGGTTGTGGGAAATTACTGTTATTAAAAATGAGCCGTCGGCCTGTTGTTTGTCTGTGAGTCAGCCGTGCGGTGGAGCCGTGCTCCGATCGCAGCTCTCACTCCGCACGAGAGGTTTGTTCTTTCGTACGTATTTAATCAGTGTGTTCTGTTCTTTATAGTTTAATAAAACTAAAAACAGCTGATTACGTGCTTCACAACCAGGATATAATCTAGTCATCGAGTCATGTATTTATGTGCGATACTGAAATTTAATTTAAAGTAGGTTCTGTCTGACGTTAGCATAACTATGTAATATCTGTAAGAATCCTTAACGCTTTTTCCTCCGATAATGAAAAAACCCGACAACGCAACGCCTGGGTTTCCCCAAGTGATGTATAATCAAACAATAGTTTTGGGGGTAAAAAAAAAAAACGGCGGTATATTAATGTGAAAGCCACTAGATGGCAGCAATGCAGATGAATAAATAAATATCACCAGGTAATTAACAGTATCTTAATTCAGGGTTTTAAAAAAAACGGAATTGGAAATTAAGTGGTTGAACAATATCGGATATCGGCAAAAAGTTAATACACAGACGTCCCTAACAATTGCGTTCAGTCAGTTATAACTCTGTGTCAGAGGTCAAAGGTGTGGCACTCTGCTGCCCTCTGCTTGTAGTTTCTTTATTCTACCGTTCCAAGTTTCTATGTTAAACAAAAAATCCCTTTTAAAAAAGCTAAGAGTTGAGTCCAGAGTGGGGGAGGGGCGGGGTCAGCCTGGGGTCAAGAAGAAGAATTATAGCATTAGGAAGGTTTGGAACTCTTAACGGTAACGGTACTGTTACTATAGCGTTGTTGTGCTACTTTTAGGAGTTCATCGAGCCAAAACAAAATGACCAACATTTTGTCCAGTGAAGTTTTTAAACAATCGTTTTTTTTTTTTTGTGGCCCAGATCGGACAAACAAGACCACGCCCCCCCAAAACACTACAATTCCATTCCACATGCAATTCCTATAAGCAAAAATGATCACTTCTAAGAATGTTCTTATAGCACCCCCTGCAGGGGAATGGACAAGGAGCTACATTATTGAAATACATTTGAATTCAGTAAAGCTTTAAAAAATATATATGAAAAACTAAAGGAAACAGCAGGGAAGAACGAAGGACAGAAGTAAAGAAGTAAATATTTAATATTGAAGGTCAAGCCGATACGTTGTTCTCGTTATGTTCTCGTTATCTCGGGGGAACGGTTCCTGTGGATGTTGCTCAATCTTAATGAGAGAACATTAGCGGCCCAGAACAGCTGACGACGGTCCCCGGACGCTTCTTTATGGCGTCTATAAAACTCTCCGCTACCAGTGGAGCTGGTATATCCACACAGACTGTGTACAACCAGAGGTGCGTGTACCATCAGTACCCTGCGGCGTACGCCCACTTGCGAGGGTCCGACTGAGCGAGGAGTCCTTTATCGTAACCAACCACCGCCTGCACCACTGCTACATTTGAACTCGGGAACTCCGTCTGGTGGTTTTTCGCTTTCAAACCATCAACGACGTTCTGGAAAACAGGAGAATGTACTGCGTTAAGGCGACAACAGTCAGAAGTCGGAGTACTGCGAGACACGTCCTGGGTATTTTCAGAGGTTGTACTTGAGGTTACTACTGTAAATAATAAACCAGATCTGTCACCTGCTACTAAACGCTGGATGCGGTGAGGGGTAAAGATCGTATGATGTCATAATTTTGTGATTCGTCAGCCTTACATAAGTTTCAAACTCGTGGCCCGGGGGCCAAATGCAGCCCGCCAAGCAGATTTCCGCGGCCCACGAGAGATTAAAAAGAATTTAGTAAAGTCCATGCAGCGGGAGATTAAAAAATTTAGTAAAGTCCATGCAGCAGAGTTTCTTAACCTGAGAAACTAAAAGTTTTTTCTTATTATTTAACAGCAATGAACAATATTTTTAACTTGAACAAATAATAATCAACGGCAGAAACATGTTCTAGTCTGTTATGGAGTAGTGACATCTGGTCTCCGACCTTTTGTGTTCCTGGTCAGGACTGGTCAGCCAGTACCACCTGGTACCACAGACCGGTACCAAGGTGCTGAGCATTGAAGGATCAGTACATTTTCAAAAATAAAACATCTTTTAGACTCTGTTCTGTTTGTATCAGAGTCTGAAGGACTTTTATTTTGAAAATATTGACAGATTATTTTTAAATTATGAAAGTAAATGGACATGACTGGATTTTCTTTGAATGAAGTAAATTAGTAAAAATTAAGTACATTTTTTTTTCATGGTGTCCTATGGACTGGTACTGGTCCGCGGACCAGGGGTTGGGGACCCCTGATCTATACAGTCCTCCATTTACATCTGACCCTTCAAGAGGGAACTGTATTGCTGATGTGCCCCCCCCCTCTCCCCCCCCCGCTTTAAAGGGGCAGTTGTTCTATTTTGTTGATTTGTTTTCATCACGGAGTTAAAGTATCCAGTCTGTCTTATTTGTCTAGTAAAATACCCCGGGGTAATAAAAAGTACATATTTAAATGTTTAAAGCCAGGGGGTTTTCCTTCAGGCTACATTTGCATCGGTGTCTTTTTGTTTTTGGTAGGTAATTACACCTGGTAGTTCATGAGTCATGAGCTGTTATCTAACATACAGCGGGAGATAAATGTTTACAGCAGGGTTGGTGTTTTTTTTTATAGTTGTCAGCGCCTCAGAGGAGGCTAATTAGAAACGCTGACATGCAGCACGCTGTACTGGTCATAAACCTTGAAAACTCAAACTGAAAATACGACTTCATGTAATGATGGTTGGTAATCACTGGTGTTTTATTTACCAGAGACCAGGTGATGTGTTTTTCTGAAGGTGAATTTAATGAACACCGGGGGCAGCGCTGCTTTGAAGGATCGTGCCTCTAAAGCCCCAGACGACCTGGTTACTCACACACACACACACACAAACACACACATCACCGTTGTTTACATCGCGTGACACTTACTTCGTCAAAGCTGTCCTCGAACAAAGTGTTGTTGGGAAACAGCTGGTTGTGGAGCCGAGAGTTCGTCACGGCTTTGTGTACGACCTGGTCGAAGTAGAGGGCCTGGAGGATGACCTGTGGACGAGAGCAGCTCAGATTACATTTTTGACTGGTTGGAATGGTATGTCAAACTCAAGGCCCGTGGGCCGAATGAGGCCCACTACATCATTTTGTGTGGCCCACCAGAGCTGAGCACTTCACAAATGAGTTACATTTGTTTATCGAAAACACAAATCTCCGATCACGTACATTGATCTTTCTCTGAATCGAAAGTTCAAAAATGTTAACTAACTGTTTGGTCCATGACTTTGACCGTTTTAAATGTTAACCCCTGTTGGATGACGGACTCTGGCGCCCCCTGTTGGATGACGGGCTCTGACGCCCCCTGTTGGATGACGGACTCTGGCGCCCCCTGTTGGATGACGGACTCTGGCGCCCCCTGTTGGATGACGGACTCTGGCGCCCCCTGTTGGATGACGGGCTCTGACGCCCCCTGTTGGATGACGGACTCTGGCGCCCCCTGTTGGATGACGGACTCTGGCGCCCCCTGTTGGATGACGGGCTCTGACGCCCCCTGTTGGATGACGGACTCCCTGACAGACAGTATGGTGATGTTTTCATCTCACCTGAGCAGTAGCAGTGGTGATTTTTGTTCCTCCAGAACCTCCGACCACCATCTTCACTTTGTTGTTTTTATCCAGGAGAATTGTCGGACACATAGACGACATCGGCCTTTTACCTTGGAATAAAAAGGTTTACGTTTACGGTTGTAAAATAGCAGTTTATGGCATTAGCCGTCAGAAAAACTCCTCAGAACGACCGGAACGACCAGTCTTTCAAATTGATATAAGTGAACGTAGCTAGCCTCTTGAAAACTTTGATGTTAAATTCAAGTTACCAGGAAAGAAATTTGGGATTTTTTTTCAGTGTCATGTAAAAGTTTTCTTTCCAAGTAGAATCAAAATGAAAAAAGGACAAAAAAAAATATGTGGCCAATGCTAACAGTTGGGAAACTGGTTTCGCCTTCACTTCTTTCACCCTCAACAACCACACTAGGAAAAATAAAGTCTCTGGTTTGTACAGTTCTAGATTTGATCAAACCTTCAGACTATCAAAATACTTGGGGCCGTGCTACGATCAGTAGGATCTCTTGGGTTAGTTGTCATTTATTCACGCCTGCAAAAAACACCTAAACTCGAGCTTCGCTGCTCATCAATTTAGTCAAATCCGATCCGATCACACAGCACGTGAAGCGTCTGTTTCCAGATGATTCTTAGTCTCCACACCAACCTGGCCTGATGAAGTTGCTGGGCGAAGGGGGAACTCCAAAGCTGTTGGTGAAGTTGGGCGAGCTGAAGTCGTCCATCTCATTGTTGAAAATGATCCCCGTGGATTTTGACATGACTTTGGAGCCCAGACTGCAACATCAGAACAGCTGCGTCACGGACAAGGAAACCAGCAAAGGTTCAAATACCAGTATTTTACCGTGACGGCGGTCGTACTATTTGTTGATGGTGCTCGTGGCCGCCACGGCGCTGCCGTCTTCGGCCACTACAGATATGTGTGAGGTTCCACGGTTTTCAGGCAGATAAAACTGTGGCTCGTAGTAGCTCATCTCATGTGTGGTGTGGTCTGTGATCTTTTTACGCAGCTCATCAGCATAGAAGGATGAGGTCAGGTTATGGATGAGCTTCAGGGGGTGAAAGTAAGACATACATTTAAATGTTAATTTAAAAACTTTTCTAATTATTTGTTGAAGAAATATACATAAAGTTAAAAAAAGTGGTTTAAAATTGAACATGTGCTCTTCAAAAACCCACACTGGCACGTCTGCATATTTAAACCCAGAACATAAATCACCCGCCTCCTCCCAACGTCTCTGTAAAGGTTAGACTATGTAAATACCCGGGGCTGTGTGTCACGCAGTATCCCAGAGATATTTAACTTTAATTCTATTTTAAACAAAATAATGCCAAATGTAAAGCACGCAGACAGACACGTCAGCTTCAGCTTCGGGGAGACTTCAGTGAACGAAGACTAAGACTTTGTACAAGCGTGAGGTTTAAGCTCCGGCCTTACGTTTGTAATGTTGAGAAAAGCCGGATCTCCCAGTAACGACCTCTTGGCATACGCAAAACGAAAGGCCTCGATGATGCGATGGTACGTTGTGATCTTTTTTTCCGTACTGGACACGCTTTCTGAGTTGAAGTTGTAGCCTGTAAAAAAAATAAGTAAATAAAAAATCCAACCATTGTTCAAATACGAAGAGAGATCAAATAGGCCAGTCCGGTTCTGCGATATTATACAGGCCACGAGCAGCGACCAAGGCTTCGGGTTTTAATCTGAGCCACAAAAGGAAAGTAAAGGAGAGAGAAAAATCCTCTGAGGGTCGGTTTGGTTTGGTTTGACAGAAGAGTCGGAGTCAGGTGTCAGGAGAGTCAGGGTGAGGGTTTTGGCCACTCACTAAAAACCGCTCGGCTGTGTCCAATTAGAAGTAAATGGCTGAGACCAGAGAAAGTGTGGCAGAAGAACAGGACACTGTTAGTTCGGCTCAGGGAGAGGAAAGATTCAAGGTTCAAGGAGATGAAGCGCTTCACACGTCCGACTGTTTTATTTTACTCTCTTACCTCTTTGACTGTAAGGCTGTACTTTCAATAGAATATCTGAATAATCAACCCTGTTGGTTTTTGTAAAAACAAAAACTGTTCATTTTAAATTAACCGTCGGTATGAGAACATTTTTATCACTGTTTGTCTCTATATGTGGAGCTGTTCTCCATCACCACATTTATACATCTCTGAATGACCTGAATGGAACTCCTGAAAGATGAATAAAGTTCTACCTGTCGGTCGGTCTATTGATCAATCGATCTATCTATCTATCTATCTCTCTCTATCTATCTCTCTCTCTCTATCTATCTATCTATCTATCGATCTATCTATCTATCTATCTATCGATCTATCTATCTATCTATCTATCGATCTATCTATCTATCTATCTCTCTCTCTCTATCTCTCTCTCTCTATGTATCTATCTATGTATCTATCTATGTATCTATCTATCTCTCTCTCTCTCTATCTATCTATCTATCTCTCTCTCTATCTCTCTATCTATCTATCTCTATCTATCTCTCTCTCTATCTATCTATCTATCTCTCTCTATCTATGTATCTATCTATGTATCTATCTATCTATCTCTCTCTCTCTATCTCTCTCTATCTATCTATCTCTATCTCTATCTCTCTCTCTCTCTCTATCTATCTATCTATCTATCTCTCTCTCTCTCTATCTATCCTTCACTGTCGAACCAGATCCGTCAGATCCGTCAGATCCTCATCACCTTCAACTCAGACGTTTGTCTGGCAGACACAGTCACTGTCTCTCAACCAATCATCATAGCATGTCTCACTACTGTCCCATAAACCTGACCTTTCAACTCTGCTGCTCTTCTTCTGTCACACGTCACTCCTGACTCCATCCAGTCCGTCCTGCCTGAACACTTTTCTCCACCTACTGTCCTTTTATTTTATCACCCATCCTCTCAGAATTACTCATTTAAAAGGTGTACACAGTACTGAGGGGTCAAAAGTACTTCAACCTCTTTTACTGGGCCATGACAGTGTGGTTTATAGAGTCAAAGGTTGGGTTCAGGGCGAAGGTTGAAATAAAGTTGTGGTAGTAATGGATCATACGATGTCTTCTTCAAACCTTCTCTGGTCTGTAGTTACCGTCAGGTGATGTATTTATCCTGGAGATGGAGCAGGTTTTCTTTTAGACCCCCCTCCCCGCCCCCATCCCCCTCCCCTTCCCTCTCTCTCTCCCTCACTCCCCCTCACTCCCCCTCTTCTCAAGTTGTTTTTGGAGCAGGAATCAAAGCTTACCCTTTAGGATGTTCAATATCAGTGTGAGCACAGGGCCGCTGGAGGGGGCATTGGGAGAGAACATGGTGTACGCCCCCAGATCCACACTTATAGGTTTCTCATCCAAGACAGCCGTATAATCCCTAAGATCCTCCATTGTGATGATTCCGCCTAGGCACAGTCGGACAAAGGCTGTCAGTGCACACGTGATCACGGATCCCACTCAAAATGGAAATGAGATCAGTAGAGAGATGAACGATATCAACCTGCGGCCCGAATGTCTGCCAACATGTTCTGGGCCAGTTGTCCCTCATAAAACGCGTTTGCCCCCTCGTTGGCTATTATGGTGTAAGTTGCGGCGAGCTTGGTAAATTTGATGGTGTCGTTTTCTTTAAGGACGTCGTTATCTTTACCGCAGAACACCTCGCTGTAGGACGAGTTCATGAGAAAATGTCACAGTTTGTCAAAGTTACTTTTCAACCAGCAAAACATAACTCAACGTGTGCGAGACGGAGGCCTCCTACCACAGGGTGGTGTCGTTCTTGATAATGTCACTGTTTTCCGACAAAGATGTGGCCAGAGCTCGACCCAGAGGAAAGCCATTCTTTGCCAGTTCAATGCTGGGCTGGAACAAGTCTTTCCAAGGCAGTTTACCGTGTCGCTGGTGTGCCAGCTGGTAACCTCGGATCTCCCCCGGAACCGCAATCGCCAAACCACCTGCGAAACCGGAACAACAAAACGGTAAGAACACTGTGTTCGGTACGGATCTTTAATCATGTTTCCATCAGTGGGATATCTCGATGTTTTCCTTCGTACGATTATCTGTAGGTAAGCGTTAAACATTACCCCTCAATGCTAGGTCCTTGTTGTCTCCGAACATGTTCTCTGTGGCAGCGTGCGGGGCTGTTTCTCTGGCATCGATGGTCTCGACTTTTCCTGATGGGGCAACAAGATACATTTTCTGGAAGGTACGTACATGCGTGTACATGCGTGTACATGCGTGTACATATGCGCGTACTCCAATGTCCAATTGTCATGCAAGCCATGTTAGTTTGTTAATCGTCAGGCGATCCTTATGTTGTGGACTTTCTCAATACAAAGGTGCAATCCATGAGTGAAATGTTAGCTAGCTTCTGATGTTAGCTAGCCAAGTGTTAGCAAATGTTAAAGTAAAAATGTTAACAGTGGGCTCACATGCAGTATATACATAAACGTCAACCAAAATATATATATTTTAGCGACCATTCGGTCGTTGAAGAACAGAGTAAATCCAGCTACATTAAGGTTTAAAAAAAACATAACAAAATTGTGTTAGATGTTACATAAGGTAGTATTAAAAAAGAAAAAAAAGCAAACATCAGACGCTAGCCAACGCATATTTTAAAATGATCTCAGTTTAAACAGGGAGCAGTCAAAACCGTAGCTCATCGAAATGCTAAATACTCACGCAATGCTAACATTAAGTAATTCACTGCGTATGATTAACTGACACTGACTCAAGTCTCATGTCTGTGGTTTTGGTGGCATTAACCTTTGGCCAGTAGTGAACAAATCAGAAATCCCGGTTTGGAACCAGTGGCTCGGTGGCTTCGTAAAAAAAAAAAAAAAGGGTAGAAAATGAAAAGGTTCTTCTCCGAGTTCCGTCTTTTGATCAACGTGAAACTTTTGACAAATATTATATCATATAACTTTCTGTGACTAAATGTTACATTGGGGCTGAAGGAACACATTTTTGTGTGTCTGTGTGTGTGTGTGTGTGTGCGCACCAGTTGCTGCGTTGTAGATCGTTAGGAAAAGCCCTCCTCCAATCCCCATGCTGTGAGCATTCATGAGACCCACACAGAGTAGAGCAGCGATACAGGAGTCCACGGCCGACCCTCCTCTCTTCAGTATGTCCCTGTGGAGTCAAGTAATAATTAAACAACAAGAGAGAAGAAGATTAGATTTTAAACACAGGATCTCTCTCTCTCTCTCTCTCTCTCTCTCTGTGTGCCATTCTGAGTTCTAGTTTAGAAGATAATCTTTTCACCTTTTTCCACATTGATGATGTCATCATTTTTATTAGTCACAAACGAGAACAGGTGTGAAACCGTGATTAATCGTGACTAATCGTGATTAATCAAGAAATGTACATTAAGACAGTGATTAGTGATAAATCGTGTTTAACCGTGATTGATCCACAGCTAGCCTAAAAAAACGATCGATTTCCCACCGACCGGTCTCATAAACACGTTACTGTCTGTCAACGGCGTCCGCTCACCTGCCGATGTCCGAACACGGCCCAGCGTCCGCGGCCACGGCCGCCTTCCAGTACACCTGCTGACCGGGCTTCTTCTGCCCCACCGTGAAGAAGACGCCCAGAAAAGTGGCGACAGCCGCCACCAGCAGCAGCAGCAGGGCCAAGACGATTGTGTTCTTCACCATTCTCAGGCGACACAGACGACGGCAGAATAACTTCAATCCTGTCGAGACAAACGCCGCTCATTGTGATTAAAGTGCTCCAACCTCGAACCCTTTTATGGCTGCTAACAAGTCAACTGAGTTTTACGAGTTAAGGATTTTAATAATTCATTATAAATGACTTATTAACTGCTAAGTGAGCGACTCTGGCAAGGAATGGACTCGTTGTAGCTTCTGGCAGTCAAATTGCTGCATTTTTTTTTTGTCACAAATTAAATACAGAAAAAAGATGTATGTGTACATGAAAATGATCTTTGTTAAAAAATGCAGAATAATAATGATAAATAAAGAGCGTGCGAGAGAAATAGAAAAAAATATATATATATAACAAAAATCAAATATTTAAATAGAAACAAGTAAATAAAAAAACTAACATGAACTAACTAACAATATATGGCTCAAATTAGCAAAAACAACCCAAACACAGAAGCAAAAAATGTATTTTAAAGATGATCATTGATAAAAAAAATGTTTTAAAAATCAACAGAACAAAAAAAAAATTCTTACCCTGTACCACGGCACCAAATTTTTTACGTCGCCAATGAAACGTGCCTGAGGGAATAAAAAAAATCCGGGATGTAGTCGCATCAGTGACAGTGATTTTTTAAATAGTTACAAACCCACGTACACACACAGACACACAGACAAGTTCAGTCTCTCTACGACCTAAACTATATTATCATACGCTCTATTGGGTTTGGATTATTTATATATAACAGTTTATTTATATTTTACAGATCAGATTCAACATCGACTTCTTTTTATATCACACGCCGTCGTTAAAGATATTGCAGTTAATGAATTGACATTAAATCCGTCTTACCTTGATCACTCCTGTGCACCTCGACGCTTTGTTCCACGCATAGCTCCGACCCGATCTGCAACAGTGGATATTGTAGGTAACAGGCTTTTCACTTCCCCTCAATACGTAACTGCAAGGACTCCATTAAACTTTAACCCACTCCACCATAAACCTGTCACCGACGCAGGGACACAAATGCACACAGTGTCCGTAGCAGCCACTCTACAGGCCTTAAGACGCAACCACAGGTCATCATTAGTCATCTGTGTTCCATCACAAGCTCTAACGCTGCCACAGAGCAACTGCGCGACCTCAAAAATGCGGTGAGTTCAGCGTAAAAACAACACCTGATGAATGGTTTCTTTATCTGGCTGCAGTGGCTGTCTGCGGGTGACTCATTTCAAAAAGGTGAGCCGACGTAGTCGACACAAAGGTGAGTCAAGTTATTCAGCACACGGCGTGGACACAGCGCCCTCTATATGAAGAAAAGGCTACATTTAAGATCAAACCTAACTCTTTTTTTTTTCCTCACCGGCACGACGAAGGCTCTCTGGATCGCTCAGGGGAGAGAAGAGCAAACTGCAGGGGACGGTGGAGTGGAGTGCAGCGCTCCCTGAGCGGGGTCCGATCAAATAAACACAGCCCGAGCGAAGGGGCCTCCAACGGACCCGGAGCAGATGGACGTTCTCACCTCTGCCATGATTAGTCCTGAACGACGGTCCCAGAAAAACATTTTCTTTCTGACCCGCTCCTTTTATTTTTATTGTTCTTTTCATGCTTCAAACGTCGAGGATAATCAACACGAGACCACGAGACAAATCCAAAACAGCCCAACATACGATTAGATTTTCCAGTTAAGTTGGTGCTCAGGTAAACATCATATTTGCTTAATTCCACTCCTCAAACACTTTTAATTATTTTCCAAACGATCTCCGACTCTTAAAAAACAGGCTCTCGTACAAGTTTGTTGTTTGTGGGTAAAAGGTTGTCACAGTAAACAGAGAAACTAAGCCAATGTCAAGATAAGAGCAGGATCCCAAAGGCTGCGATCCTAAAGTCAAATCTGACGTTCGGATCTGACATCAACAAACGGCACCCATAACTAAAAGCACCTCTTTCTTCTATTGGTTCAGCCAGGAATAGCTCTATGGTAAAGCTAAGAGTTTGTGTTTTTACAGCTGCAGCCGTTCAGCCGGACCAAGTGTCAAAGTCCCACCGCAAAAAGCAACCAATAGAAACAGCAGTTTTTTGTTTGTTTTGTTTTGGGGGGGAGGTTTTTTTGGAGAAAGCAGTTCAAGTGTTTTCTCACGTAAAACTTCTTCTGATGTCAAAGCCAGGAGCAGGTTTTAAAAGCCTACAGTTTTACAGCAGCGTTGAACTCTCTGCTCAAAACCTAGTTTTGAGGTTAAAAAACAACTGTGATGATAACGTGGACCTTTGACCTTTCAGATCAGCTGGAGAACTTCGTCTGGATGTCGCATTGTTCAGAATCAGAAACTGTAAATAAATAAAATGGAACCCGGTACCAACTGACCCACTGATAGGATGTCTGCTGGTTTTAACAGACATCCTAAAAACCTACGCGACAGGTTCTGTAGTGAGTTCTTTGCCTCGGAGGCAGCTAACACTGGATTAGCACTAAAACGACTAAAAAGTTCCAAAAGATCCACTCCTGTCAGGTTTAGGGAAATTGTTAGAGGAGAGAGTTTTTTCTTTTCTTTCATGGAACAAACAACTACCACATTCACATCATGTTCTTCAGAACCAAACCATGGAACCTAAACCCTTGTATCTATCCTTAACATTTGGAGTTTGCTCAGTTTTAGCTCTTGACTGTACAGAATGTAAAAAAAAAAGTGTCCTACCTGAGTCCACCTGTTGGTTGCGCCTCCATGCTTAGAGTGGTTGTAGAAAGTATCCATAGCGTTGTTACTGAAGTTAGCAGAGAATTATAACAGATCCAGAGGTGTACACCACTGACTGCAGTTAGCATCATCAGCTCGTGAAGAATGAAAGGGTTAGAGTTAGAGTTAGGGTTGTCTGTTGGAGGGAACGTGACTTGGTCTGCCTCAGGACATGGGAACAACAAGGCTGAGACCAACATTATCTTCAGGATGAAGGCGTTTCTTTGCTCTGTTTTTTTCTTTTGCCTCAGGTGTCATTCTTCGCCTGAAGACAACAATGGAAGCCATCTCTCCCCAAAATGTCAACTTACAGAACCTTGATGAGGCTGTGAAAGCCCATAACAAACCCGATGGATTTGAACATTCACATTTGGTAGAAACTTAAACACGGAAGAGATGTGTCATCTAGTAACAGTCGTTAGTCTCTACACCCGGTGGGGGTGGAGCAGGTGGGGGCGGGGGCACATGTCAGTGCTCAATACCGTTACAGTCCTATTGGACAAGACAGGTGTGGACGATGGTGAAACTCAGCAGAGGATTTCGAAGCAGAATGACGAAACCTGCAATCCTCTGAAGGTAGTGACAAGAAACAGGTAAATGTCATGAGGGGATTTAAGGAATATCAAATATTTGCACCTAAAAAAAAAAGAAAAAAAGAAAATACCTGCAAGGCAAGTACAGGCTGATGAGTAACAGTTGCAAAACAAGTTAAACCGAGAGAAAAATAAATGAATTAGTCTGTTAAAGTAGGGAAAAGAGCAGGTTAGCAGGTTGGAGATGTAAAAACACAAAGAACACAGGACCCAGAGGGATAATCAATCTATCTATCTATCTCCTTGTTTCCCAAAGACTGGGTCGCAACCCTCATGTGGGTCGCAAGAGTTTTCTTTTTGTTTTTTTGGGTCGTCTCACATCATGTTTCCCAGGAGTTTATGAATAATGTCTATTGACTTGGGTCGCGAAGGTTTGAGACTTTTAAAATGTGGTTCCCCAGAAAAAAAAAGTTTGGCAAACACTGATCTATCTAACACCTGTCAAACTCCGGTCCGGGGGCCAAATCAGACACGCAGTGTAATTGTATTTGGCCCGTGAGATCATATCAAATGTGAACTAAAGTTGACCCATCAGTGTATAGCACATATATACTGGCAGGATTTGTAGTATTAGCGATGTATGTCAGAGTTTCAATGTTTACGCAAAACAAAAAATTTGTTTCCATATGAATAAATTCTTCATCACATCTGGAGAGAAGGGAAAACATGCACGACTGACATCATTTTTTCAATAAATATTACGCCTGGCTCGATACATCGTCCCGATTTTAACATTTTGGCCAACTGTGAATTTGAGTTTGACAACACGGGGTCTGTCCTTCTGTCCCTCTTTCCAGGTTATCACTTCTCTCTCTCTCTCTCTCTGTCAGACGGAGTTGTTTTGATTTGAGCTCAGTTTCCAGCTCCGTTTCCTCTTCACGAGTCTCTCTCTGTAGAGCGGAGCTGTGATTGGCTGAGGAGAACACCAGCTCCGAGTGAAGCAAAGGATGCACACGGAGCCAGTGCATGGACGGATGCAAACAGGAAACGTCGGTCGTGCATCCTTCTCCCCCCCAGTCCGGACGGGGAAACTCTGAGGACCGATGTCTGTGTGCGCATCCTCCCGCAAGTTTGCGCTGTGGGGTTTCGGTCGCGTGCAGGATGTTGTGAATCCGGCTGTCATCAGCAGCGCTACTCGCAGCAGCAGCAGCAGCAGAAGCAGCAGCACATCCTGTCAGCAGTGATGGGCTCCAAGTTGACCA